CTGGAATATGCAAATGAAAATCAGTCAGAAGTTCTTTTTTTTGGTTTTACGCTCTGTGCTCGTGTTTAGGGATCCGCAAGTGAATGCAGTTTCGTTTCACTGCTCGCTGCTCGATTTGAAGTGCTAAAAGAGCTCAGGCAACGCTTCCCATTTGTCGAGGAAGGGCTTCTTCTATCAAAACTGGTCGCATATTGCTCCAAAGAGGTAGACTAAACTTTCATTCCATTTGATTTCAGTTTGATTATTCCTTTGTTATGCTTAAATCCGTCGTTCTGTCCGTGTTCGGTGCTTTAAGAAAAACTTATTTGGTATTTGTTGATGTTTCGAGAGATGAAACTTAAATATCTCGTTCAGGCACACTCTTCGATTGAGAAGGCTTGCATGATTGGAATGGTGAAGCTCAGAATCCTCGAAACGGATTCAAAGTTTCGCCTTCGTGGCGAAACATTGCGCCAAGCGATCCAAGTATGATTTTTTCCCCATCGCTGAAAAATGACTGACTTTTTCATAAATAATTTAAAAACCCTTCCAGCAAACGTTTTTTAATTTGAGTGACAACGTTTTTATATCTGTGCAACATCACATAACTGTAGCTGTGAATCAAGCAATAAAATTCGCAGATGGTAATCATCGATAATAAGAGATTTTGTCATTGTTTTATTCCTCACACGAGTGAGATGAATAGCAGTTTCAGGAAGATCGTAATCTTGGTTTGATACCGTTCTTTGTATCGACAACACTTGGCACAACTTCCTGTTGCTCGTTTGACGTACTTTCTGAAATCGGCCCGGTTTGTCATGAAAACGATTTGTGGCTCCACGTGGATGCAGCATATGCTGGAAGTGCGATGATTTGTCCCGAATTTCGTCCACTTATGGAAGGAATAGAGTATGCGATGAGTTTCAACACCAATCCAAACAAATTCATGCTTATCAGCTTCGATTGCTCCACGATGTGGTGCGCCACACACTCTTTTTTTCCTTCAGCGTTTTTATTAGCAAAAATTCATAACAAAATTGTCAAGACGCGCTTTGACTTCTGTGAGCTGGGATTGTAATTACCAAAACAAAATTTAGTGATTTTAACCAGGTCAAGCTTGACACTCTGCAGTTGAACATAGTTAGTATCATAACAGTTTCTGCTTCTATACTTGACTGCAGTTGCGCTATTCCATCCGCTTTGCGCTACCTTTCACTCGCTCTATCCACATTTTTCCACCCATGTGAAATTGCCGACGCAAAGGCATCGAGAAGACAAGCAAACCTTGTGGCGGGAAAACGAGTTCGAGAATCAGGTAAGCTAAAAAGCTGAAATTCCGCAGGGATACCCTCGCATAAACTTCTTAGATTTCAAATTCAACTTAAAAGTATGCTTACTTTACATGTATGGAAACATTAAAGCTGAGATTGTAAAATCTCTGGCAAAGTGCCGGCTCGAAAACCTAGCTAATTAGATCACTGGCTTTACGAGGATATTTGCTTTCTATAGCCGGGCATGTAGACGGAAAATGAGCTTTGGTGTATGCCTGTGCCGAGCATTAGGAGGTGTCAAAAATACTGATAAAGAAGAGCGAGAGGTGATTTCGCCAATCGGTCATGCTGGGGAGTTCATGCTTTACGAGGATATTTTATGCCCAATACGAATGCAACATTTCAAATTCAGTTTTAAAGAACTACTGTTCTTGGTCTAGTTACGTACAAATGAAGGCTTATTTTGAAACACTACTAGCATCTAATTAATTTGGTAACCAGACTGAGTAGGATGAAGTATTTTTACAGAATGACTGCTCTTCATGTGCGAGCCACCAAGCTTAAGACGGGTTTCTGTTTCGGCGTGAACCTTGCTTACAGTCTGATAAAATGTTTAAATTGCAACGACATAATCACGCCCCAAATGCGCAAACAGTTCCTTCAGAGAATAGAATCATGTAAAAACGCATGATCGCACTGGCAAGTCCGGTGCGTCGCTTCTTGATTATTATCTACATAAATCAATGGAAAGTACCTAAAAATTAATTGCTATTGCTGCTCTTTGAAACCTATTACGGGAAAGATGTGTGCCCGTCAGGAATAGCACTTGGTTAGATAGCCTCTAAGCTATAAGATAATGTTATTGCTTCAGGGTAAAAGACAGATACAAGCTGACACAAGCACTTGTTGTGGATCCGCTTTACTTGCAGCACAGCTGGACTGGTTAGTCACTTTTCGCTTATTGTTGATAATATTTCAAAGCTTAAATATCAATATGATTTTTCTATCATCTATTTAGATGGCACTTTTCAGATAAAGCGATTGACTATCGGCACTGGGGTATTCCATTGAGTCGACGTTTCCGATCGCTCAAGCTTTGGTTTGTCATTCGACTCTATGGTGTCGAGGGTTTGCAAAACTATGTCCGCAGGGTATGCTTTATCAAAAATCGTTTAGAGGCAGTCATGTACTGCTGACTTATCTTCGTTGATTTTACTGTTCAGCTTTCACTGATTCCTTTCACGCATTGCAGCTTAAAACTACCACGTGGGAAATGACTATCGCTGATGTATTGTAGTGTACTTCCTTGAGATTAACCGTCGACTTTACAATAGCATAACTTTATCTTACCATTGCCTGTCGTGAACATTAGCGAAATCTCCACCCTGGCCCGTTGAACCAGTAAGGTCTTAGTCGGAATTTTTGGTTGACAGCTAAGACAGCTCCAAAGATTTGTCCACTCTAAAGAATTTCTGCAAAAATAGTAGTAACTGAGCCGGCAAAACCGTACGAATAACAGTCTCGATTAAGCCACTAAGTTTGATTGCTAACTGAGTGAAAGTGATGCGTTGATTCATGGCCTGAATGAGCGCATGTCGTTCGCTTTTCTTCGCTAGCTGAGCGCAGTCCACTCAGACGCTGCAATGTCAGTCGTACTAGTTTTCATTAAACTGGATGATTAGAACGATGAAAGGGTTCGGACAACCGCCAGCCCATCCTGGCCTTCTTCGTCAAGTGAACGCATCACGACGGAAATTCTATACCCAAAAAGGGATGTGTGCAGCCACCCTTTCTTTGCAAACACGTAATATACAAAGTAAATGATTTAAAATCACAATAAATCACATTTATTACTTTCCTCGAAAAGATCCGTTTCTCAACATGCGCAATTTCTCATATCCGTATTTGTGCAGAAGAAATGGTTGTTACATCACTTCAACTGAGAACTAATGTGACCAGGTTTATAAGATATTACGTCCATTTATGTTCGTTCTTATCTCGGATTTCCAAGAATCTATCTTTCTA